TGGGGGCATTCCCTGGGGCTCCCAGAATCCATGGCAAGTGCTTCGTGTGGGGACCGGGTGTCATGGAAGGTGTTGGAACAAGGGCAGTCCCGGCTCCATGTGGCCCTCACAGGAGGGGTCTCCCGGACCCACGCTGGGGTCGCTCCCTGCTCTCTCTTCCCACTGAGTGGGAACCAGGAGTGGCGAGGCCTGGGGGCAGCCCGGGCAGCCTCTGGTCCTGCTGGCCGTTCCCAGGCCATGTCTCCGCAGGGGCGGCTGCCGGGGCTGGCAGAGAGGACCCTCCCACCATCGTCATCAGCATTTTGTGCATTTCACCCATCTCACAAATGAAAAGTGATACTTTGCAGTTATTTAATATCAATCAAGTTTTTATAAACTGTCTGTTTACATACTGCTGTGGATGAAATATATAGACTGAAGTGAATTGCTGCAACCCCTTATCATCATCATCATCATCATTATTATTCGTTCAGCTCATCCGATGTTTATTGAGTTGTGAACTGTGGCAAATGTTGTGGCAATCTGAGACGCCCAGTCACCCACACCTCCTGCTCCCTTTCTTGGTTTTCCACTGAGAAGGAAGCCTGAAGCGGCACCTCCCCCAAACTCCAGTGGGTAGATGAGGAGACATAGGGCAGTGCAGGGAGAGAGGGCCAGAGGGTGGGGGATGGGAGGGCGCCAGGGCCAGCACGCAAAGCTAGATTACACACATGCACACACGCACACACCACACACACCACACAGAGAAAAAAAGCCAGGAGCGCGGATCGGTGACCATGTCCAGCTGGTGCTGAGAACATCAGGGAAAGACCAGGTTTCCAGGAGACATTCCAGTCCGTTCTGTCATGAAGCACCTGCCAAGAGGGCTGGGCAATGTCCCTGGACTCTGCCTTTGAGGCACGTTAGCCCTGAGCCAAGACAGCTTTGGTGGCTGCCACCAGCTTCAGAGACTTGCTCTCTTTGTCCACATAGCCATTAGCTTTCTTCTTGAAGTGGACCAACTGTCAAAAATTCTACCATCACTTTAAAGAACCCAGTGGCCTGGGGGTCTCTGTCACTGCAGGTGTCTGGGAGTCTGAGGCGCGATTCAGGATCGCAACATCCCCTCCAGCCCAGACGCCGGGATCAGATGTCCAACGTGCCAAGTCTGCACGAGCCGAGCCAACCCC